AGCTCTGATTGGCCAGCTCCCAGAATTACATAAAATCTGCATGCAAGGATAATATTTATGTGTCAACGTTCGTGAACGTTACCAGATGACAGGTTTCCTATTGGACAGTCAGTGATGGTGAGCCATGTTTGCTGTCTGACAAATTTAATTTGCTTTATCGACCATCGTTCAGAACACACCTCTCTGGTATAAAACAATCGTATCGATCGTGAATTATTTTGTGGATGTTTTTGACGGTGCATATTCAAAAAGATATTTGCACAGTCAAATCGTATCACTCAAAGATGACTGTCTTGGCTTTTGTTTCGAGTTCCACATCGATTTATTTTGTTTCTAATTTCGATATTTCTAGCTATCCACTTGTGAAAGAGGCATGACACACACACAAAATGGCCAACGTTTATGCCCGACAATAATTCAGTGTAGGTTGGAAGTTTTCTCTTTGGTAAATGTAACGCAAAATAAGCCTTTTTCGGAAGGGTTGGCGACTCCCGAAACACTTTTTAATTAAAAAGTATATATTCGTTCACATATAAGATACAAATTGCCGACTTTGAATGTTATCTTTAGGACCTTCCAATACGCCGGCTAGTATATCTTGCCTTTCCAAATATTAGCACAGCTGAAGTACACACTATTTTCCATCTGTTAAAATAAATAATGGGTTTCAGCCAACATCAGTGGCGATTGTCTCAGTTGGAAATGCCTACGCCGTTTTAAAATTACTATACTGTCCGTTGCGTCACCAATAGATTACAAGGGTTTATTTTCTTATTAACCAAAATCAAATTGTTCTCTTGGCTAAGTGAGTCGAGCTTATGGCTTTGCAACACCCTTTCATCCACCATACCGGGTGTCCCGAAAAAAATTGTGGAAGCAGATACCCTTTAATTTCTCAAAAACTACTTAAAATCTTGTCGGAGCCCATTAATTATACTTTTGTGTATGTTAATCAGTAATAATGCCATGGAAATCCGTTCATGCAAATCAGAGATCTAACAGATTGTAAAAGGTTGTGGGTTTTTTCCAATTGGATTTACACAGTTAGTGATATCACACGATTGTCATGGACCTTTTCCAGGCTTTTCGCTCTGATGTACATTAAGTTAGCTGTGTAAATCTCATCCCATTGGAATGAGTGGAAAGCCCATACTCTTTTATAATTCGTCATATCTCTGTGTATTTGTTTTATTTATTTATTTATTTATTATCGGGCAAACAAGATAAAAATATTAACAACAAACAGGCCAGAGGATTTCCCAAAAGCGAAACAAATCACTATTTAAAGGGATTTCCAGACAACAGATAAAATACAAACAGTAAACAAATATATTCACATATACATAAATAAACAAAAACATTGACATAGGACAATTTTAAAACAGCATCCGGTCATTAAACGCATGAAAAAAAAATATTTTAAAAATAAATATATAAATTCATGTATTACTGCTTGGATTGCATGAACGGGTTTCTATGACATTTTTGTTTTACTGAATATACACAAGAGTATAATTAATCAGTCCACCAAGGTGGCTCGGGTTATTATCAGCCTCCATACTCCAACCGGTCTTCAACAGAGTGTTTAATACCGGTCAAGCACGCATTTATTCCCTTATTGTTCATCTTATATTTTGACTTGTGATTTGACTTGGATCTGTAATTTGAATTTTTGACTAACTAGGCTGACTAATACGTCACTTGCTGTGAAGCGACCTAAAGTAAATTTTATATCAATTCAACCGAATTATGAATTCAGTTTATATATAAACTAATGATTTACAATAACAACCCACTGTTGCATAAAATGTTGTTTTTCAATAAGAGTCTTATTGCGATATTGTTCCCTTTTGACTTAGTTTTGAACACAAACCACTGATTATTTTGTTCTTTTTGTAAATTTGATATTTTATTCTTTATGTGTCTAAAATATTCTGATAAACCGTTAATTGAAAGCGAGTTGATGTATTTGCGCCCGTATGTTTATTGAGTCCGGTAAACACTTTTGAACATGGATCATTTTTTTTTAATTCATTAACTATAAGCGTGAAAGATTGGTTTTCTTTTCGTTTCTTTCCAAGAATACGATATTATATGTAACGTGCAAAACAACCTACCTGTTGAAGTGGATAGTATTTCGAGAAAACAAAGAAAAAACACGCACTTTTTTTGGGGGGGGGGGGCAAGGGCGGATCGGGGGGGGGGGGTGGGCAACTGGGGCCATCGGGTTATTATCAGCCTCCATACTCCAACCGGTCTTCAACAGAGTGTTTAATACCGGTCAAGCACGCATTTATTCCCTTATTGTTCATCTTATATTTTGACTTGTGATTTGACTTGGATCTGTAATTTGAATTTTTGACTAACTAGGCTGACTAATACGTCACTTGCTGTGAAGCGACCTAAAGTAAATTTTTTATCAATTCAACCGAATTATGAATTCAGTTTATATATAAACTAATGATTTACAATAACAACCCACTGTTGCATAAAATGTTGTTTTTCAATAAGAGTCTTATTGCGATATTGTTCCCTTTTGACTTAGTTTTGAACACAAACCACTGATTATTTTGTTCTTTTTGTAAATTTGATATTTTATTCTTTATGTGTCTAAAATATTCTGATAAACCGTTAATTGAAAGCGAGTTGATGTATTTGCGCCCGTATGTTTATTGAGTCCGGTAAACACTTTTGAACATGGATCATTTTTTTTTAATTCATTAACTATAAGCGTGAAAGATTGGTTTTCTTTTCGTTTCTTTCCAAGAATACGATATTATATGTAACGTGCAAAACAACCTACCTGTTGAAGTGGATAGTATTTCGAGAAAACAAAGAAAAAACACGCACTTTTTTTTGGGGGGGGGGGGGGCAAGGGCGGATCGGGGGGGGTGGGCAACTGGGGCCATGCCCCCCTCCCCCCAAAAAACCTTTTTTTTTTTTTTTAGTGACGTCGCAATAAAGGCAGGTAGGCCTACTGCTTACACCAACATCTTTTCCTCCAAAAATGGTTAAAGTGCTCAGAAATTGCCTCAGATCGCACCACAAAACATCTAAAATTCGAATTTTGTTCGGGGCCCTTAAGCGGGCCCCGAATTCCCTCGCCGTAATTTGACTCACTTTTGGGGGACCGTGTTTTTGCCCCCCCCCCCCCCCCAATTGTTTTTTTGGATCCATCCTTAAGGCCTTGGGGGGGGGGGGTGTCTTAAACTGGATTCCGTTGTCAACGCGCGTAAAATATTGCGCTCGCAGGTACCATATTTTGAAACCACCTTTAATGTTGGTTTCCCTTCAATTGAAACCGTTTCAGGCGGATTATTTTCACAAAGAATTCGTTACTAGTCCTAGTCACTTGAGCAAGGTTTCTGTCACTAAATCGGCAGGTTGTTTTCGGGTAATTGCAAATAATCCTACGCAATGGCGGATCTACCGAGGTTAGGGGTTTAAACGCACACCTCCGGCCGCAAAAAGATAGGAAAATTATGCAGAAGAAATAGTACATGCCTACTAAACCCTTCCTAGACAGCTACACACCCTCTTCAACCAAAAACTGGATCCGCCCCTGCTACGTAGCTATTGATTAATAACAGGACTGCTTGGTTTAAAACTTGAAATAGAAGCAACTGCAACAACTTACCGGAATACCAATTCTTCGTGATGTAGTAAGGTGCTTTTTCTAGAGTCCTTTGTTGACAGTGATGGCAAGTTTCTGAATCCTGTACCTTTGTAAACTGATTGTTTTTAAAGGTTTTTCTCGTGTAGCAAATGGTCAAGAAGAGGCCAACTCTCCATGAAATTGATTCACTTGTAGTTATACCTATATTTTTTTTTAAATGACGTATATGCATACAGCTGCACGGTTACACATTAACAGGTGCAACTAACTTGACTCTTTTGCATTTCGTCACGGCCCGTAGCCTACTTGATATGCCACACAATATATTCAGCCGACATTGATTTTGTATTATGAAGCAGAATTGTTGCCCGTTTGTCAATGTACTCAGCTGGCAAATACTAAGCAAAACCTGAATCCATTCCCATGGGCTTGCATAAAAAGTATTTGGTGTGCAATCTGGCGGAAAATTAAAAGAGGGGGGGGGGGGGCGCAGTAAAAATATATATCGAGCTGTTTTTGGTTTTCCAAAGCCCGGATCAATGCGCCTCATTAAGTGCTTGTTGAACAAAAGTGAGGTGGAATTTTACTCGAGTTGAACAACTCCGGATAGGCATTTCAACCTGATTTACTGGTCTGGTACAAATTGAAAACATTGGGGTTTTTTTCAGCAAATGTTTTTTGTAGGCCTACTTGATATTACTGTTTTTCCAGTGAGTAAGTTCTTGTTTTAACTTCGTGTCTCTCTTTTACTGTTTTATGGGAGGTATTATTCTAAATATTAGCTGTTTTGATCTAGTGTCTTCCTTTATACATATTTTAAATAATATATTTTTATTGCAAGTCGTTTTTTTATCATGCGGAAGCACTGTACTTTTTAATGTGTTTTCGTTTAACTGTCGGTAGGCATATGTTTTAATTTGGTTGTTTTTTCACGTATTGTTCCTTTGAATTTCTATTTTTAGTGTTTAACCCAGGACCCTCAAGGAAACTGGTGTTGTAACAACTGATGGAGCTGGTAAATAAAAAAAAAGTTCAACTTTCTAGTTTTGCTTGAAAAAAAATTGATTTAATTTCCCGTTCCATTTGTACTGGCCACAGATGCAAGCACGTCATATATATACCGTGGACAAAAGTGCCCATGCAATGTAATTGTATTCAATGCATTGCAATCCTTGAAAATGCACCTTTGTGTCAGATTCAACCTTATTTTCAATTTTTGTTTTGCCATTTCAAGGGTATGTTGGTGCCTTTTTGTCTTTCATGCTAATGCAGATTTCCATATTCATGAGCAAAACCGTGATGTCATTTCAAGCTGAAACCTGTAAAAAAAAATAATTGCCTCGCGCATAATTAATGATAGCTTGCCCGACGAACGCTTGAGGGCGCAATTTATATTCGTCGATGGTCGCACCGGCTGCTTGAAAGATTCGCACATTGTCGCCAATGTCGGTTCATATCAGTAGTTCTTAGAACTATTTCACAAAAGTAAGGAAACAAACCCTCTAAAGAATAAGCCATGAAGTCCAGGTACACAACAATCGACTTGCGGGCCGCAATATCGGAGTTGGGAGTGAGGTGAGATGATCATGCATTGAACTTCAACTTGAAGTTGAACTGAGTTTTCCATGTCTCACAACCATGCACAGGAGTAGTCCGAGACTACGAGTCACGAGTAACTAGGAGGACTCTACGGATCGCTTTTTAACATTTGGAATGGTCGCCCGACCATGTCCAAATGTTAAACAGCGATCCGTAGAGTCCTAGTTACTCGGACTAGCACAGGCATGACAGGAGGATGGATGCTAGAGGCCACAAACACAAGGAAACAAATCCATATTACTGTTACTGGGCTACGGGAAAAGTTCCGTACTCGGACGTCACTTTATCTGCTGCCAAACATATTAATTGTCACCTCACTTTGTCATTTGAACCAAGAGAAATCCAGGAAGCTGTGTAAAGGTGAAAACAATTTACTCAAAATGTGTTTTTAGAGCACATTTTGGATGCATACGTCGTGCAGAACTAACTTGAAGCAGCCAGTCAAAACTGATTGTAGTGGCTGAAAGACAGCGGTACGTTATACACGTGACATCAACAACCATGACGTCGCATGAGCCTGCCAATGATAGTGCAATACGTCATTATGAATATTTATTTTCTCATGAATATTTAGTTTATTTCAATGGATACTTCAAATACGTCCAAAGATTGATTATTGCAACAGCGATCGTGCGCGGCCTAGCGGTTAAGAGTCTCGTGTATCAAGCAAGCATCAGAGGTTCGAATCCCGATGAAGTAACTGACTGATTAATAAATAGAAATTAAGGAAAGGAGAGGGTGAGAGTAGAGGAGGGAAAGTGGAGGAATAACCATAAAAGATGTAACTTTTGGCGCTAGAAAATTAATTGAAAAAAGTGACGTCCGAGTACGGAATTTTTTCCCACAATTCTGTCATTGACCCCAAAGCCCAACATTGCCCAACTAAAACATCAGATTCCACCCTCAAAATGGCCTCCAAATTACTATTTCATTCATTCATTCATTCTTTATTATTTTTACCACATCTCATTTCATTTCATTATGTGACAAGGCATAAATACATACATGTAGTTTTGGGTATTATAAAGTTCGAGCTTGTTTTACAAAATATATTTATACACTTTGGGCGCATTATTTTCTAATTAGAGATGGTGGAAGGGGATCCCCAAAAAGCGGAGCTTGTCGAGTAGAGATCCCCTTTAACTTGGATTAATACAAACATTTAATGAAAAACAAATGAAAAACAATTGAACGTTTAAATTTTAAATTGTACATAACACACAGAAAAACATAATATTGCTGATCAGAAAAAAAGAAATACAGAGTAGTAACCCAGTAAGAAGATTAATCTGAGCTATTATAATTTGATAGTAAATTCGATTTAAGTTTGGATTTAAATAGTGGAAGGCTACAAGTGCCCTGGAGTGATTTATGTAAGGACTTCCAGTACTTAGGGCCTTCATGCCTAATTGTCTTATTAAACAGTTGTTCTTGCAAATGAAAAGTGAAATTCTCTATGTTGTCGGGTAAAATGGTGATGTATAGTTTCGTTTCTGCAGAACATTTGTGCAATGGGATTTGGAAGTAAATTATTATTCAAACGATGCAATTGCATGAAGGCTCCAAGCTGAAGTGGATAAATGTCATTGACCTTGAGTGTTTTATGTTTACAGAAAAGAGGATTAGAATGTTCAAGTCTGTCGACATTAATAACTCTCAATGCCCGTTTTTGTAGGTTAAGAATTCTATTCACATAACTAGCTGCAGAATTCCCCCATGCTAGGATACCATAGTTCAAATAAGGCAAAATCAATGTATTATACAGCATAAACAGTACTTCCTGTGGGAAAAAGGCTTTGGGCTTACTAATGACACCTATATTTCTAGAGATAATAGAACAAATGTTGTTAACTTGAATTTTCCAAGAGAGAGTAGGATCAATATATAATCCCAAAAATTTTACACAATCAGAATAGGGCAATTTTATGTTATCGATATATATATCAGGTAAAAGGGACCATGTTTTAGCGGAAAATAGCATGCAGTTTGTTTTCTTGATATTAAGGGATAATTTGTTTGCTTTAAACCATTCAGAAATTTTAAGTAATTCTTGGTTAACTAAATCAGCAAGTACATCAATGTTGTTATGACTAAGAAATAAATTACTGTCATCAGCAAACATAATGAAGGAAAACAGATCTGATGATTTGTTAAAATCATTTATATAAATAGAGAACAGTAAAGGTCCAAGTATTGATCCTTGAGGAACTCCATGGGATATTTGTTTAAGAGAGGACTGGTGACTCTCTAAGGACACAAATTGTTGACGATTAGAAAGGTAATTCTTAAACCACTCCAGAGGAATGCCTCTAATCCCATAATAGTCAAGCTTTGTTAAAAGAATGTCATGATTAATGGTGTCAAAGGCCTTAGAGAGGTCTAAGAAAATTCCAAGCGTACTTTTAGATGAATCAATTTTGCCAGCTAGTGATGAATTGATTGAAGTCAGCATTAGGAGGTTTGTAAACCACACCAACAATCAGATTCTTACATTGACGAGGGGTGATGATTTCAACAAAGATACATTCCAACGAGTCGTTACCCAGATCATTTAAATCAGACCTCCGAATATATTGAAGACTCGATAATAAGTACATTGCTACACCTCCTCCCTTTTTTCCCTCCCTATTTCTGGTCTCCAGAATGTATCCAGGCATATTCAAATTAAGATTACAGTTGGTATTCAGCCAGGTTTCACTCGGATAAGTTGCTACTTAATGAGTGCAAACATGTTTTCATATTATCAATATTTTTGTTCAGACTTCTAATGTTGAAATGTAAGAGGGAGAAATAATTAGGAGAATCATGGTTGAAAAAATCAACAAACTTTTCATGAGAGTAATAACTTTTCATGAGAGTAATAATACGCCACCTGAGGTACAAGTAGACATCGATGATTAAGATGCTTGTGCTGAAGTTTACTTACGATCCGGATAAAAGGTGAAATTTCCTGTTCAATTCCAAGAGCTTCCCTCTCAATTGTGAACACGTTAAATTTCCGATTCGTGTTCATGTTTGAACAAGGCTATGTGGTCTTCATGCCCAGCGTACATTCGATGGTCCCCGCATCCCGAGCGCGATTCTGTTACTGAGCCTGATGCATCGATTATGAGAATGAGTAGAACGATAATAGGGAGTCGGGAATTAGGGCAGCTTTCATGGGTGGAAACCAGTTCAAGCTAGTTCCCGACTCCCTACCGTTGGAATAGGAGGCGAGGAAAGTAATTGATAGGTGCAAACAGTTCTTCCCTCCATGCTCCAGATTTGGAGACCCCACATTGCAGCAAGTTCGATATTTTAACTACCCATCAAAATATCAAGAGTAATGCTTCAGTTTTCTTTGTCGTTTTGTTCTTTCCACACAGACTAATGGGTCTGCGAGTTATCAACATATACGACATCAACAACAAGACATACCTCATCAAATTACAGGGGTAAGCTGAACAAGATTTGCCTTAACAGTTCGCGCCAAGATTATTTTGAAATGACTTGACCCTGGCGCATGATTGTTTTTCAGGAATCTCGATGCCCGACGGGTTCAGGCCATTATCTGCTGGTAACACACCTTGATATTTCTGGCCGCGCTTGCTGCAGGCGGGTCACAGACAGATACTTCCGGCCTCGCTCGTTGCATGTTTATCTGTATTTTGGTGCCTTTTTTAATTTTATGCTAATGCAAATTTCCATATTCATGAGGAAAAGTGTGATGTGGTTTCAGGCACAAACCTCAATGTTACAGCTATTTCAGCAGCAAAAGTTGGCAGAAGTTTGGATATTTTGTTGACGTGGCTATTCTTTTCTTTGGTGATTCGTTGTGCTGTCAGTTCATGGCAGCCATTGAGCAAATTTTTCTCACAAATCTTTTCAGTGAGCAAATTTTGGGTTCACAATTTGAACAGAAAACCCCTAATCCAAGCAATGTCTTCCTGAAGTGACATTACATCAACAGCGCCCTCAGTTGTCCAGAAAAGCATGGACAATTTGACATGTTTAAAGAATGCACTTTACAAAAATATTCACCAAAAGGGGATGTCAAAATATTTTTGTAGAAAATGGACAAAATGTATTCCTAAGAAAAATTCACTTCATGGACACTTTAAAGTGGTTTCATTAACTAATGAACCAAATCAGCAAAACAGTTGTTATTTTTCTTGTGAGCAAAGTAATCAACCTTTAACTTCCATGGTTGTTGGCAGATCAAAGTTAGGTACACAGAAATCTAAACCACAACTTGATCAGTTACTCCTTCAAGAAGTAGGCATGGCTGTGAAGCTACATTCTCATTTATAATGTTAGACAAAGTGTCCTCTCGTTTGCCATCCAATCAGCACTGACAAGAAAGAAATGCTTCTGATCGAGTCCGGCATCCGCATCAACAGCACGGACTTTGACTGGCCCAAGTCCAACATGCCGTCCAACTTCAGTATGAAGCTTCGCAAGCACTTGAAGAGCCGACGGCTGAACCAGCTGCATCAGCTGGGCATGGACCGCGTCGTGGACATGCAGTTTGGTTCGGATGAGGCTGCGTATCATCTCATTGTTGAGCTATATGACAGGGTATGTCCGACAAATGGTTTTGTTTGGTTTGGTTCCGGGTCGGGGTCTGAGTTAGGTTCAGGGTCTGGTTCTAGGTCAGGGTCTGGGTCAGGGTCTGGATTAGGGTCTGAGTCAGGGTCTGGTTCTAGGTCAGGGTCTGAGTAAGGGTCTGGTTCTGGGTCAATGTCTTGGTCAGTCCTGGGTCAGGGCCTGGTTCTGGTTCAGGGTCTGGGCCAGGTTCTGAGTCAGGGTCTGGTTCTGGGTCAGGGTCTGGTTCTGGGTCAGGGTCTGATTCTAGATCTGGGTCTGGTCCAGGTCCAGGTCCGAGCTAGATTTGGGTTGGGGTCGGGTCTAAGTCAGGTCTGGGTCAGGTAGGGTCTGGATCTGTTGTTTTTTCTCCCAAACTCTTGATGCATCTTACGTCAAGAAGAACAGGACATAAATCACAGTTAAAAGGGCCATTAGTTTAATAAATTTAGCAGTGTTACCCAGATTATTAGTATATTTACCATCACTTTAAATCCCCAAAGCCCTTTTGAAAAGCCCTTTTGAAAAGATGGGCCATTCATGTGTCCAGCACATGTTTATTAAGAGAATATTTGGGTATGAGGAATTGGTACCTAATTTCATGTCACATTTTAGGAAAGAATGCAAAATTAAACGAGTGGTGTTAACTAGAGGTTGGACCCCAAGGTACCCAGTAATACCTTGACAAACTTTGAGATACTGCCTGCTTATCTTTATTTTTTGGTGTGCCCTGTTGTTGGCGTTTTTAAATGGTGTTTTTTGGAAACCTCCTGAAGCCAAAATCCTCCAGTAGGCAACAAATAACACATTATCGATATTTGATCTCTCGGGGATTTTTATGCCCATGTAAACTCAAAGTGACTGCGATTGACCTTTCTCTATCCTGAAAAAATCTCCAAACTCTCCCTGGTGGAATTTTGAGACTTGGGAGGGTTAAAACAACCCCCTGGCCCCTTCCCAAGTTGCTTTCGATGTTCTCTGGATGACATTTGTTTCTGTGCACCTCATCTTCTAGGGCAACATCTTCTTGACAGACTCGGAGTACACCATCTTGAATCTTCTCAGGACGCGGACAGACAGCGAAGATGTCCGGTTTGCTGTCAGGGAAACCTACCCAGTAGAAGCTGCCAAGAAGCCAGAGCCACTCCCAGAACCAAACAGGTTAATTTTTCTGTCTTGTTTCTCATGGGGGCGGAGGGAGGTGGGCTATAAAGGGTGAATCTTAGCTGTTTTCAGAATGTTTTGTGGCCATGTTTTGGAGGGTGAAACCTCAAGTTCATCATTCAGCATCATTGAGAAACTTACAGCAGCATGCGATTCATAATAGTTTTCCTGTTAATTTGTCCAAACTCTTTATATTTAGTATAGGAATTGGTCTCTAAAAAGCTTTGGTTTTTGTTTTTTCTGCTGCTTTCTTTCAGGCTTCAGGAAATGTTGGCAACAGCCAAGCCCGGGGACCCTATTCGGAAAATCCTCAATCCTCACTTTGGTAAGTTCGGTCAAAGGATTGACGAAGACAGAGTGTTTGGAATGCAAACCACCAATAAACAGCTGTCGTATTCTGGATATAAACATCCATTATTTACTTGGTGTTTTCACGAAGTGACAAAAACCTCAATATCATGCAAAAAGGTCATTCCGAGATAATCGCCTTTGAAGTTGATCATTTTTTCAAAACACCTTTTCGACTAGTTTTTAGTTATGGATTTAAGAAATTCTTGCATTGTCAAGTAACGTATGCTTTGTTCTTTGCTAATTTAAATTTGTTAATTAGGAGTCTCTCTTAATTAAACTGTAATTCATTAATAAAGATCAATAAAAGTTTTTTTCACTTCGTGAAAACAGCAAAACACAGAGGCCTCACTATTTTGTCCCATTGAGTTGTACACACTTTTTGTCACTTCATGAAAACATAAAACGTTCTACGAAATTGTTACATTTGCGCGTCTGACGTCACTGCAGCGCGCGTGCGTCTGTTGTTTATTGACTTCGTTCACGGCGTGCGCGTCGAATCCCGTCCAATCCCATCCTAACGTGTGTGTAGAGAAATGCTTTATTCCTCTGGCCCTGCTAACGAGTTAAGTTTGTGTCACTTCGTGAAAACAGAAAACACGGATTTTAGGCATTTTGTCAAATGTTTGTGTACGATAAATACAAAAGTAAACAATATTTCGCTTTGAAACTCGGCCAAATTCTTTCTTTTGTCAAATGCAATAAATTGATAGGCAAAACTTAAAATCGAGGTTTTTGTCACTTCGTGAAAACATTGACGTGTATACCAGTAGCGTTTCAAATTTCTGTTTTCCTCCTGTACTTTTCGGCCTGAATTGTATTGTATAAATACAAATTAATGTCCGTTCTTGATTTGATTGTTTCCCCTCAGTGTTTGGACCTGCCGTGATCGAGCATTGCTTGTTGAGACAGGGCTTCCCATCCAGTGTCAAACTTGAGAAAGAGTTTAGCTCAAAAACAGGTACAAATATAGGCCAAATTCGGGCAAGGACCATTAGTCGACTAGTGGTTGATTTGTGACGTACCTTACGCCTGCGCACTGGTAGCAACGTGCAAACGTCTCTAGTCAAACGCTGGTCAAAATGTCATCGCAAAACTTCTGGGTCCTGGCTCTCTGCTAGCGTTATGAATGCGCGCGGCTATTGGTTACCAGCGAAGCAACCAACCCCAGTAGGCTGGTTCCAAATAGTCGACTAGCGTAGTCAACCATCGTCGACTAGACAGAGTTTGGGCAAACGTTAGTTAACCATTGGTCAACTATAGTCCTTGCGTGAACTTTGCCATAGACTACTTACTTTTAGTTCTTTACGTCATGTTTCAGCTGAAGCCGCATGCTCAATGTGACGCAAACAATGGAAAAAGGACCGGTGTGTTTTCCTGCCACCAACATCTCAAAAGTCTCCTATTCAAATGAACTGTAACAACAGAATTCTTTGTCATTATTCTTCTCTTGCTACTTGTGCCCCGACTTCTAAATTTTGATTTTTGATTGACTTGTGATTTAATCGCTCACAGCTTTGCCTTTGAATGTTTTCAACAAAATCTTGTTGGATTTATGACCCTTGTTTTGATTTTGACAAACCATTTACCCCTCTGTCCTTTTCCTGCTTGTGATTGGTTACAGATATCCCGAGGCTGTTATTGGCCCTGACAGAGGCGCAAGAATTAATGGAACAGTCAGGCCACTCACAGAATAAGGTATGAATCTCTACTTTGGATAGCATTTGATGATGTTAAGTAATGCAGTGACTGACTTTTAAAAAGTTTGGCATGCTAGTATAAACTTTCATTTTATGCAAATTTTCAGCTCAGATCATTAGTATTCTTTCTGCAAATGAGGACATTTAAAGGTATAGTCCATCATTTGTTTTTTTGGCATTTTATTCGTTTGAAGCAACAAACATTCTCAAAATCTAAAGATTGGTGATAAACAACTAAAGCTGATGAACTTTTTTTTCGAGAAAAACAACATTCTACGGTCTCAATTTCAAATCAAAAGTTGCTGAATCATGTTTTGAATTGGGCCTGAATTCAGCGTCCAAGACACGTTCGCACTGAGCCGAATGTAGATACGCTATGTCGCGCACTGATCCGACGAATTATAGAGGGCGCAGGTGTGTGTGTGTCGTGTCAACGCTTGCGCACGCTTCACTGTATAAAAAAAACGAACTCTTAACGGAAATTTCCAACAGTGCGTCTTAAGACGCACCATTGGAAAGGCCCTCTTTTCTTGATTTCTTCAAAATGACAGCATGCCAGAAAGAATAATATCACAGGGAGTTTAGTCCCCTTACTATCTTTCAACCAAGTATGTTTTTCAACAATAATTACGTCAGTCACTTTTTGGATAGCTGCAAATGATGGACTGTAACTGTAACTGTGTTGTATCAATGAAAAACAAGAGAGTGTTTGGTACCCCATTTCCAAAATTTGACATTTTGCGCTAATACTTCATTTGATTTTTTGCAAGTCTCAGAGGGGCAGCCTATAATCTTCTTCCCACCTGACTCACTGACTGGCTGACTGTCACTAGGGAATTAGGCTTGCATAAGTCTCACGTTGGCCAAAAGAATGATTTAGCTGGTCCCTAAAGAGCCAGCCTACAGTCCTCTTTGCACCTATCTGACTGACTGACTGACTCCCCCATGCACTAGTGAATTAGACTTGCTGAGTCGCTTTCACTTGTGTATTAGACTTTGATAAGCCTCACTTTTGCCCAAAAAATAACTCAGATGACTGCCTAGAATCCTTAGACCAAATATGGTTTGGAATCATAGAGCTATATTGAATTACTAGAGCACTAACTCATGTACAAAGTGATGCCTGCTTGGCGCATCCATGTTTCTACACAAACCTATGGAGAAATAGAAATTTCGCACGTATTTTTACGTCTATTTGCATGCCTGCGTTTGTATTCCATACCGGTGCGTCATCCAAGCTGATATGCCCAAAACCGAAATGCACGATCAGCAAATGAGCGCGTTATTTTGCTCTATGCAAACAGTGCAATACGTGCGCGTCCCTCTGCTGCATATGCTTTTCGCCGTGATGTTTTTGAACCGTCATGACGCGCTTAAGTTGTTTGCGTATCTTCTACTTGCGCGTTGCATTTGGAGTACACTTTTAAAATTCAATCCATCTATTTTGATTGTGTTCTACAAACACGCACATAAATTCAAAATGTCTACGCCCAGAGCGGCTTCAAAGCTTCTCCGCGCGCAAGAATGAAGAGTTAGCGCTCTAGCAATTTAATATAGCTCTGTGTGACTGACTAACTCCCCCACACACTAGTGAATTAGACTTGTTTTAGCCTCACATTGGCCCAAAAATTTAACACAGACTAAATTAATTCAAATGAGAATCCTTGGACCAAAATTGGTTTGGAATCACCTGAACTAGCCTTGCCCGGTCACATTAATAAATTAGTGTCAAAACATCCGAAAGACATCTTTCTACAAACTCTTAAAGGCTCAGCATGTAACAAAAATCACGTGGCAATGTTCCAGAAAAAAATGTATGGGGGAAAGATGCCCTATCTCACACCAACCCCCACCTTTGTTCCTTTTAGTGTTAATGATGTCTGTTGTTATTCCAATCAGGGTTACGTGATACAGAAGAGAGAGAAAAAGCCAACGGCTGTTGAGGGTTGCGATGACACAGAGCTCCTGACGTAAGCTAACCACTAACCACTAGCAAGCTGTAAAACTTGATCAACCAACTACGATGTTTGCTATTGCCTTTAGAATGCCTCGGTGAAAGGCAAAGTCAATATCCTCGTGTGCCCGTTAGAAGGGCATAGCGTGTTATGACCAAAATGTTCCCAGCAAAAGGGCATATGCAGAAAACTGCCTCCATTTTAATAGCCTTGGTCAATGCTCTCGTCGTTATTCGTCCCGTATGCGGTCAATCGTCGGCATATATCCTCACGCGCTATGTACATGCATGTAAAAATACAGCACGAACAGCGACCTCATGCGGCCACTATGTTTTTATGCAAATCAGTTGGGGACGATCGAGAGCCTTGGGCTGATGTTTTTCTTTACTTTGCGCTAGATTTCAAGCGCACGACCTCGTATGCGAATACAGGTAATGTAGGCGGGGCTAATATGTGGAGTGTCCAATCACACCTTGGTAAATCCGGACGTCATCAAATTATTTGCAGCTATTCCGCCTTTTGCGGACGTGACAGGAACCACAGTTTTTGTGCATTGGTGCCGTGTGCAGAGACACACAATGTGTACGTGTATGGATTATGTACGGTGCCACGTTTCACTATGCAAGTTTCCACACAACGATCGACCAATAAGAAAACGACATTTAAGGTCAGCTAAGGCTATTAACATAATGAGCACCACCCCCAAAACCTCACATGGACGATTGAACCAAGGCGCTAGATCGGGTCCAACTGATTTGCATAAAAATAGTGGCCGCGTGAGGTCGCTGTTCGCACTGTATTTTTAATGCACTGCATGCATAGACATATGACTGCATGCATAGCGCTAGCGAAGATATCGTTTACCGCGCTATGGCCGGATGAATAACAACTAGCGCCTTGACCAAGGCTACCATTTTAATGAAATTTAAACATTATCCCCATAAATTTAAACAAGTTGATCCAACCCTTATGATTCATACGTGTGACAAATTTCAAATTCGTATTATTTATATTACGTGTGGGGGAGCATTGGATTCATAATACGCGCGGGGGAACAATGGGACCTTTCAATGCAATTTTCTTTAAAATGATTTTTGCGTCAGAACGTTCATATGCCCTTCTGCCGGGCACCCGACAATATTACAATGAAACTGTCCTGCGTGTCAATGCATGGGTCATTCTATACATTTGGGGTCCACTTTTTCCCTGTCCCTGTTACATCTGACATCTATGATTTTATAATTCTGATGCACTCCTTAATGCAGTCATCCTCCAAGAGTCATTTTGAATAACAAACTACCTACACAACAAATGAAAGATTGTTTGAAGTCATTCTTAATGATTCTTGAAAGGCAAACTATAACGTACCAAGGTACCTAACAGGGACATGAAACATGTCGGGGTACTTGTGCAGAGTCCAAAGAACACTGTAGAGCCCATTTTTGTTTGTCGCAGGTACACGGAGTATCATCCCTTCTTGTATGAGCAGCACAAGTCCAGCCCGCACATCGAACTGGACTCCTTCAACAAGGTGAACCATCCTGACATTTAAGTTATCATAAAAAACCCTAATAGTTCCCCAGGACTACCCTGCTGAATCCAACAGAGTCTGACGGTTACTCATAAGTTTCCTGCTCAATCCAACACAGCCCAACACATCCCTACGTGCCAAGTTGCTGGGTACCTGCCAATATGAAGTGACATTCCTGCGCAATCCAACAGATTCCAACTGTGCCTTGAATCCAACAGCAGGTTACTCAATCCAACTGTCCATATTGGTTACCTGCTGAATCCAACAAAGTCCAACTAATTGGCATTATTTTAATACCAGCACCCAACAGAATCCGACTATGAATGTTTTCAGTTGCCTGCTGAATCCAAAAGATTTCAAGAGGAATATATACAAGGGGTTTACTGCTCAATCCAGCAGGATCTGACGGAAATGTAAAATAGTTGGATCCTGTTGCAATGAGCAGGTTTTGGGTGGGTTTTTTTTTTATGCCCCTCCGGTGAAGCCGAAGGGGCATACTGTTTCCGCCTTGTCCGTCCGTGTGTGTGTGGGTGCGTGTGTGCGTGTGCATTTGGTTCCACAGCGATATCTGGATTGTACGTCCGTGAATACCTTGATACAATGAAGGTAGCTTGCTAGTATAACTTACAGAAAATGAATAAGTTTGGACCCCATAAGACAAAGGCCAGGATTAAAACAATAGGATTTTATTTGATTTGATTTATTTTTTTTTTTTTCTCACTCACTAAAATATTAGGGGGCCTGTACACTGTTTATACATGCTTTTTGTATAATCAATGTGGCTTCTCCACCCTTTTTTCTTGGACAGTCATATTTTTAATTGAAACAACAGAAAAAGTTTTCTCAACAAACACATGTACATGTAACACTAAAACTAAAGACTTGCACCGTAGTACATGTACATGAACATGTTATGCAGCTCCCTGGGTTGTTCTTAGGATTTTGAGTCACTTTCGGACCCCATAGGCCAACTGTTCTCATTATTAAAAACCAAAGAAATGATGTCACATGATGATGATAACTCAAGCTTATTCAAATAACCATGTTTTCTTTTGATTATTTGAAAATTCTTATTTCCATGTAGGCCTTGTAAATGCTCAAAGTCAAAGAATTATGCTCAAAGGATTTGCCTTTGAGAAATGTCTTGCTTAAGACTGAAAATATCCAGTCAGTTTGCTTAAATCACTTACAGTGACTTCTCAACAGAAAAGCAAAAAACAAAAATTCCTTATGGGATCATAGGCATCAATACATTACATATAACAATAACGATGTCAATGAACGTTCCATGTGACCCAGGTAAGTTGATGTTAATAGAGTGGTGTTATGTCATGGAAATAGGCATGGTTGTGGAGCATTTGTGTTTTTGAACACTACTTTTCTTGTCTTGTCATGCATGCTTTAGGCAAGCCTTTATTTGCACTTTACACAACGTTCTACACAATGTTGTTATCGGATCAAATTATGAAACGTCTTCTACAACTTCATTTGAAGTTCACTAAAGAAACAGCATGACATAGTGCGAATAAAGTTAAATTGGCTTGAAAGTGCAAATAGTCTATCATTGAAATATTTACTTATCACTAATATCTAGACAGTAAAATGTTTGAAAATGCAGTACACATCAGAGAATTTTCCTTTCAATATTGGAAATAGACATACATGTCATTAGAAAGTTGTTTGTTAAACAAAATGCTGAATTTTTTTGATTTTTTTTTTTCTTGTGTGGGGCTACGTAAAACTACCACAAAGAATTAATATAGAAAAACTTTCCATATTAAAGTAAAAGTCACATTGTCAACAGCCAGAAAACCACCATCTTATTACATAGATGCAAAGTTACATTTTAAAAAAATTCTCTGTTCAAGAATATTAATTAATTTCTCGTCTAAAACTCAAGCTGACTTGATATTTACAAGACACCAAATGCAATAACGTATTTCACATACATATTGTTTTAAATGTGCAGGCAATTTTCACAAATTCAAATTCATTTTTTTAAAGAAAAGTTAGCATTATTGCTGAGCGTTGCGTACCCCATGCTCTTCAATTGAATTCCTTTTTTTATTTCTTCACACAAATTTTCTAATTGAGTGTTATGTTTTAACGGAACATCCTATTGTCCTCCTATTTTGGACGTGTGCAAATCTCTGGAAGAAAAGGCTTTCATTTTGCGCACAATTCAACCTGCCCGGCAAGAGTTGAAAGATCGTCAGGACACAAATAATTTGAATTTTGTAAAGAAATAACTGCATAACCAAACATCCAGGGATTGTTTTTGTTCAATGTCTCATCAAAAAAATATCGGGGTGAAACTTAAAATAGCACAGGGAATGCAACTTGAAACTTCAAAGACACTTTACTTTTTTCACAATTACAACATAAGTGCAGAATATATTATATAAGTTGAAAATATTTATCATATATTTTCTATTCTAATACCAACTCATACTTCTACACCAACTTATATATTATACTGTGTGCACTAATATAGTGCAAGATCACTTTTCAAAATGTACATAACCTTTTCAGGCATTCAAAAACATCATTCTTTTATTTTCTAAAAATTAATTACTAAGGCACTATACTTTGTCACTATTACAATACGCGATCAGATGCCCTCCCTTTATTTTAGTAACATCAATACACAGGCATTTTATGGTGAAGGCTTCAATATCGGCAATTTCTGGAGCCTTTCTGAATACTCAAATCTTGAATGTAAAGTTAATCCCAAACCTACGAAAGCCCATTAGCGCCACTGCAAGTATATATGTTACAGATTATGTAATTCGTTATTACGGATTATTAATTCGTTATTACGGATTATTAATTCGTTATTACGGATTATTTAATTCGTTATTCTCAGACAACGCACAAAACCACGCATTGAAACAATGACTTGACTTTTTGGCATAGTTTTTGAGCCGCTATTTTATTTCTCCATGGTCAATATTTGACTTGATTAAATGGCAGTGAATACCTTGATAAACTATAACGGAACAATAAAAAATATCTTTCGATTTACTTAAAGTTATTTGCCTAAACATTTTGGCACGCTTGCCATAAAACGGGGCACGCTTGTCCCTCCTTGCCATGCTTGGCATCACTGGGCCCAAAACCTTGGCACGCTTGCCAACCATTCACTAGCCCCACCAGAACAAGTGGGTGCTAGCCAAAGTGTTTTTTAGTTTTGTCACGTGACTTGAATATATGCAAAAATTACTTAATAAATTGGAAAAGCACCCCGATTTGGTCCACCGCTCGTAGCTACGGTTGGCATGCCCCATCAGTACAAATGGGTGCTTGGCGTACTTTTTTACAAAGACTAAACACAACCTGTTAAATGTTTAACGTCCAAATTCCAAGTCTTACTTCAGAACTAAATACCCAACTTGTTTATTTAGTTTGAATTGAGGCACTGCCCGTCGCTCCCAGGACCTTACTGCCATTTATATATTCGTAAAATATGGCGGTTGAAGGGGAGGAGGTGGGTTTATTTTTGATGTAGCGGTCTCAAAAAGCTACGCCGAACTGGCCTTTCTTGCCCCAAATGCACTTAGCGCGTCAATGCGCGCACGTGAACTTATTACATTTGTATCAACTCTGCAAAAAGCATCCATCCTTGTGCCAAGAACACCGTTTTTGGCTTCATGCCATCAAGGGGCGGCAAACTGCAATTGGGCCAATCGATATGTTTACTTTTCCTACACCACAGCAACCATCAGCTGATAAAAGAAAGTGTAGGACTCAACTGTGCATTTGTGGAGAATAATGTATTTTATCTTTCAGTGATAAAATGAATTATTACAGATTATTAATTCGTTATAACGGATTACTAATTCGTTATTACGGATTATTTAATTTGTTATTACGGATTATTAATTCGTTATTACGGATTGTTTAATTCGTTATTACGGATTATTAATTCGTTATTACGGATTATTTAATTCGTTATTACGGATTATTAATTCGTTATTACGGATTATTAATTCGTTATTACGGATTGTTTAATTCGTTATTACGGATTATTAATTCGTTATTACGGATTATTTAATTCGTTATTACGGATTATTTAATTCGTTATTACGGATTATTAATTCGTTTTTACGAATTAAGTCTGATGTTTTCACACGTGGAGAGCACGTGACCAGGGGCCTATGTATATAACGTCGCTAGGCGGCGCTATCTTTGCATACAACATTTGCACTCCTCAGTGTGCCATACATGCTGAGTAATGACTCAGAACGTATGAGTAATTCGTAATAACGAATTAATAATCCATAATAACAAATTAATAATCCGTAATAACGAATTAAATAATTTGTAATACTGAATTAAATAATCTGTTATAACGAATTAATAATCCGTAATAACGAATTAATAATCTGTTATAACGAATTAATAATCCGTAATAACACATTAATAATCCGTAATAACGAATTAAATAATCCGTTATAACGAATTAGTAATCCGTAATAATGAATTAAATAATCCGTTATAACAAATTAGTAATCCGTCATAACGAATTAATAATCCGTAATAACAAATTAATAATCCGTAATAACGAATTAAATAATCCGTTATAACGAATTAGTAATCCGTAATAACGAATTAAATAATCTGTAATAATAATTAGTAATCCGTAATAACAAATTAAATAATCCGCAATATATATTCTTGCAGTGGCTCTAATGGGCTTTCGTACAAACCTGTTATAAACAAGAGAAAGTAACTTATCTGGAAATGTACTTATAAATGAGTAAAAAATTGTTACATTAACTAAATGAGTGGCAAAGTCATCGCAAAATTTCAAGTTTGTTATCAGTTAGTTCATGTTTTCATTATCAAGTTCAGTGTTCTTCACAGACTTTTTTCTTGGGAGGGCGGCATGACGTCATCGGACGGGCGCCCGGCGGTATGACGTCATCGAGCGAATAGCGTTTGTTTTTTTTTTACCACATTTTTATCAATGGGACCTAAATCGAAGCTCCTGATTGGTC